CCTAACCCTAACCCGAACCCGAACCCCAACCCCAACCCCAACCCTAACCCTAACCGAACCCGAACCCTAACCCTAACCCGAACCCGAACCCGAACCCGAACCCGAACCCTAACCCTAACCTTAACCCGAACCCTAACTCTTAATCCTATCCCAAACCCCTAACCCTAACCCGAACCCAAACCCATACCCTAACCCAAACCAGAACCAGAACCTAAACCTGAACCCCTAACCCGAACCTGTACCCTAAGCAGAACCAGAACCAGAACCCAAACCCTAACCCATACCCATACCCTAACCCTCGTGGGACTGGGGATGATTGGGAAGGCAACATGGGAGAGATATTTTGTGGTGATGGAAATATTCATTATCTTCATTGTGGTTATATTTGTTAGATATTAAACCCGTGCCCTTAAGTCTAATTTATTTATGTAGATTATACTTCAAACGAGTTCTTTTTTTAAAATAGAACAGAATTGACAGCCCAGAAACTTATGGCCTGTGGATTCTGAAAATTTACACCACACAAATATGTATTCAAAACAGATCAAAGACCTATATTTCAGACCTAAAACTAGAAAACCATTAGAAGAAACCATAGGAAAGATATTCATGACCCAGGTTTGGGCAGCTTTCTTAAATGTGACACCAAAAGCATACCAAGCAAAGGAAAAATAGGTTGACCTTCATCAAAATTTAATACTTTGGTAAGAAGGACACTATAAGAGATTTTAAAAACAATGGAAAGAGGAGTGCTGACCTGGCTCAGTGGGTGGAGCCTGACTCTTGATCTCAGGGTTGTGAGTTTGAGCCTCAGGTTGGATGCAGAAATTTCTTAAAAATAGAATCGTTAAAAAAAAAACCCAAAGAGTGAGAGACAAATGTTTGGACATAATGCATCCGATAAGGCAGATACAGAACATATCCAGAATATAAAACGAACTCCTGGGGCGCCTGGAGCACTCAGTCAGTGAAGCATCTGCCTTCACCTCAGGTCATGATCCCGGGGTGGTGCACAATTATTCAGCCACATGAGGTGACGAGGGGTTACGTGCTATAGACCACGGACGTGGTGCACAATTATTCAGCCACACGGGGTGACAAGGGGTTATGTGCTATAGACCACGGACGTGGTGCACAATTATTCAGCCACATGGGGTGATGAGGGGGGTACATACTATAGACCATGGATACGATGCACAGGGTGCACACAGGGTGATCACCCACACATCAACCACACAGGGTGATGAGGGCCAGTACATCCCATATAACATGAGCACAGCTGAAAACCACTATGCTCACTGAATGAAGCCAGATGCAAGATTAGATACTTTGTGTGATTACATTGACCTGAAGTATCTGAAAGAAGCTACTTCCTAGACAGCCAAAGGACACCAGTGGTGGACAAGGGCTGGGGAAGGAGCACTTGCAGGTACTGCTTAATGGGGACAGTTTTCTTTGGGGCACTGAGAAAGCTCTGGAAAAATGGTGAGGGATGCAAAGCACTCTAAACATAGTCAATGCCACAAAATCATACACTTAAAATGGATAAAGTTGCCATTTATTATCAACGACATAAAACGAAACAGTGATGGCAGTTATTAATTTCACAAAACAATTCAAAGGAAAAAGGCATTAAGATTTAGATTTTGTAAAAGTAATGACTGTCAAACACAATTTCATAGTTTTATATGCAGCTGCCAACCCAATATCTCCACTTTGGTGTCTGGCAGATGCCTCCAACTCAACCATTTCCAAAGTCATGATTTTCAGCCTCAACTCTGTTCCTCTCCATGCCTTCCTCCGTGTAGACACCTCTCGTTCCCGCTTCTCAGGATCAAACTTTGGCATCATTCTCACCAACTCCTGACCAAGTCTGAGGAAAAAGAAAGCTTATTGGCCCTGGGTGGCTCACTCATAAAGCATCTGCCTTCGGCTCGGGTCACGATCCCAGGGTCCTGGGATCGAGCCCCGCATTGGGCTCCCTACTTGGCGGGAACCCTGCTTCTCCCTCTCCCGCTCCCCCTGCTTGTGTTCCCTCTCTCACTGTGTCTCTTTCTGTCAAATAAATAAATAAAATCTTTTTTAAAAAAATAAATAAAAAATAAATTAAAGAAAACCTGATTTTATTGTTGAAACAGATCTAGAACCACATGTCTACGAACACTTGGTGTAGCACAGTATCCCCACTGGTGCACACAGAAGAAAAGAAAAATCGTGTTTAATCAATTGACCGTGTGCATGTAGTAAAATGACGAATAAAAATAAATTCCTAGTAAACTATTTATCTGTGAAAGGTAAAACAAGCTAGGGGATACGAGGAGAAAACAAGCTAGGGGATACCAGGAGATGCCAGCTGCACGATGCCAAGGGGGGCAAAGATCTGAGTGCAGGTATTTCGTGTGCTACTACGTAGCCTGCCCCATAGTACACGCCCAGTAAATACATACAGAGGAATAGAAACGACAGTTTTAACACCATCTGAAGGAGCACATACACGCACAAGTACTTGCATCTTGTGAAGACACTATGTTCCTCATCGTTAGATTCCGTTTCATATAAACGTCACTTCTGAAATTAGACAAACGCAATCTTAACAAAAAACACATTCATGCTTATTTTTGGAATGCATAAATTTCACACAGGAAAACGACGAAGAATACTTAGCAAACACCTGAAGGACATCTCACGCGAGCTCCCGCGGCAGCGCAGGTGCACGAGCACAGGTGAGCCGCGCGCCTGCCCTCCCGCGCACGTTCCCGCGGCAGCGCAGGTGCACGAGCACAGGTGAGCCGCGCGCCTGCCCTGTCGCGCGAGCTCCCGCGGGAGCGCAGGTGGACAACGAGAAAGCACAGGAGGCCTTGTGCATGAAGTGGAGGGACACAAGGGCATATACTGTTGGCGTAGGGAAGACCTCTGCAATGTGCCCTATGTCGGGAAGCAACAGGGAACACGCCGCTCCCTATGACTTGGTAAACCTGGCCAGGCCGTGCTTCCGGGGCGGTGCTGCGGGCAGGGGCAAGAGGTCAGCAGCCAGGTCCCACCTCCACCCGAGGGGTACGCCGCACCGATTGCGCAAGCAGGGGGCGGGCGGGAGGCTGGCTGGCCACTCACCACGCATGCGCAGGGCACTGTGCGAGCCGGCCCGACACCCACCTGCGCTGGGAGGAGAACCGGCGGCACAATACAGTGATGGAGACAAAGGGTACATGATACGAAGGGCCGAGCCCACACGAAGTGCTGACGGAGGGAGCCGAGCGGTGACGGATGGCCCTGAGAGGAGGACGAACAGCGCCGAACCTGGCCGAAGGGCCGAGGGGCCGAGCCTACGAACTGCGGGCGAATGACGATGGACGGTGCCAAGTCCTGAGGAACTGCTGTTACAGCGCGCCGAGGGGCCGAGCCCGGACGGAGACTGCCGAGCACTGACGAACAGCACCGAGAGTCTGACGGACAGTGCCGGGCCTCAACGAAAGGCTGACGGAGGATGCCGAGAGGCCGAGCCCAGACGGAGAGTGCCGAGCAGTGACGGACAGCACTGAGGGGCTGACGGACGGCGCCGAGCCTGAACGAAAGGCTAACGGAGGATGCCGAGGGGCCGAGCCCAGACGGAGAGTGTCGAACAGTGACGGACAGCACTGCGGGGATGACGGACAGCGCCGAGCCTGAACGGAGGGCCGAGGGGCCGAGCCTACACGAACTGCTGACGGACGATGACGGACGGCGCCGAATCTTGACGAACGGCTGTTATAGCGCGCCGAGGGGCCGAGCCCGGAAGGAGAGTGCCGAGCACTGACGAATAGCACTGAGGGGCTGACGGACGGCGCCGAGCCTGAACGAAGGGCCGAGGGGCCGAGCTTACACGAGCTGCTGACGGACAATGACGGACGGCGCCGAGTCTTGACGAACGGCTGTTACAGCGCGCCGAGGGGCCGAGCCCGGACGGAGAGTGCCGAGCAGTGACGGACAGCACCGAGAGTCTGACGGACAGTGCCGGGCCTGAACGAAAGGCTAACGGAGGATGCCGAGGGGCCGAGCCCAGACGGAGAGTGTCGAACAGTGACGGACAGCACTGCGGGGATGACGGAGAGCGCCGAGCCTGAACGGAGGGCCGAGGGGCCGAGCCTACACGAACTGCTGACGGATGATGACGGACGGGGCCGAGTCTTGACGAACGGCTGTTACAGCGCGCCGAGGGGCCGAGCCCGGACGGAGAGTGCCGAGCAGTGACGGACAGCACCGAGAGTCTGACGGACAGTGCCGGGCCTGAACGGAAGGCTAACGGAGGATGCCGAGGGGCCGAGCCCAGACGGAGAGTGTCGAACAGTGACGGACAGCACTGCGGGGATGACGGACAGCGCCGAGCCTGAACGGAGGGCCGAGGGGCCGAGCCTGCACGAACTGCTGACGGATGATGACGGACGGGGCCGAGTCTTGACGAACGGCTGTTCTAGTGCGCCGAGGGGCCGAGCCCGGACGGAGAGTGCCGAGCACTGACGAACAGCACTGAGGGGCTGACGGACGCCGCCGAGCCTGAACGGAGGGTCGAGGGGCCGAGGGGCCGAGCCTACACGAGCTGCTGACGGACGATGACGGACGGCGCCGAGTCTTGACGAACGGCTGTTACAGCGCGCCGAGGGGCCGAGCCCGGACGGAGAGTGCCGAGCAGTGACGGACAGCCCCGAGAGTCTGACGGACAGTGCCGGGCCTGAACGAAAGGCTAACGGAGGATGCCGAGGGGCCGAGCCCAGACGGAGAGTGCCGAGCAGTGACGGACAGCACTGCGGGGCTGACGGACAGCACCGAGCCCAAACGAAGGGCTGACGGAGGGTGCTGAGCAGGGACGAAGAGTGCTGAGCCTGGACGGAGAGTGCCGAGCGGTGACGGACAGCAGAGGGGGCTGCCGGACAGCGCCGAGCCCGGACGAAGGGCTGACAGATGGTGCCGAGGGGCCAAGCCCGGACGGAGGGTGCCGGGCAGGGACAGACAGCAGTGAGGGGCCGCCGGACAGCAGTGAGCTTGAATGAAGGGCTGACGGAGGGCGCCGGGGGGCCAAAGGAGGAGCTCGAGTTATTTGAAGGGGGACGAGTGGCAGCGACAGACACTGACGGGAGGGGGCGGAGACGGACGACAGGCGCGGAAGCTGGTGATGGGAGACGGCTGAATGCCGAGCGAGCAACGGAAGCGCGAGTGCATCCGGGGAGAGGCCACCTCGGAAAGAGGCGCAAGGAGAGAAGTGATGGAGGAGGAGATGTGACGGGGGCTCGGGGCTGTGCTGCAGCTGCTCCGGGAAAACCCTGCTCGGTGCTCTCCCCGCGGTGCTCCCCCCTCCCGGACACCCGCACACTCGGTGCTCCCGGCTCCCGGACACCTGCAGGGGAGGCGCGCTCCTGCACGCTCGGTGCTCCCGGACACCCGCAGGGGAGGTGCGCTCCCGCACGCTGGGTGCTCCCGGCTCCCAAACACCTGCAGGGGAGGCGCGCTCCTGCGCGCTCCTGCACGCTTGGTGCTCCCGGACACCCGCAGGGGAGGCGCGCTCCTGCACGCTCGGTGCTCCCGGACACCCGCAGGGGAGGTGCGCTCCCGCACGCTGGGTGCTCCCGGCTCCCAAACACCTGCAGGGGAGGCGCGCTCCTGCACGCTCGGTGCTCCCGGACACCTGCAGGGGAGGCGCGCTCCTGCACGCTCGGTGCTCCCGGACACCCGCAGGGGAGGTGCGCTCCCGCACGCTGGGTGCTCCCGGCTCCCAAACACCTGCAGGGGAGGCGCGCTCCTGCGCGCTCCTGCACGCTTGGTGCTCCCGGACACCCGCAGGGGAGGCGCGCTCCTGCACGCTCGGTGCTCCCGGACACCCGCAGGGGAGGTGCGCTCCCGCACGCTGGGTGCTCCCGGCTCCCAAACACCTGCAGGGGAGGCGCGCTCCTGCACGCTCGGTGCTCCCGGACACCTGCAGGGGAGGCGCGCTCCTGCACGCTCGGTGCTCCCGGACACCCGCAGGGGAGGTGCGCTCCCGCACGCTGGGTGCTCCCGGCTCCCAAACACCTGCAGGGGAGGCGCGCTCCTGCGCGCTCCTGCACGCTTGGTGCTCCCGGACACCCGCAGGGGAGGCGCGCTCCTGCACGCTCGGTGCTCCCGGACACCCGCAGGGGAGGTGCGCTCCCGCACGCTGGGTGCTCCCGGCTCCCAAACACCTGCAGGGGAGGCGCGCTCCTGCACGCTCGGTGCTCCCGGACACCTGCAGGGGAGGCGCGCTCCTGCACGCTCGGTGCTCCCGGACACCCGCAGGGGAGGTGCGCTCCCGCACGCTGGGTGCTCCCGGCTCCCAAACACCTGCAGGGGAGGCGCGCTCCTGCTGACTCGGAGCTTGTGTTGGAAAGCCCACCTACGTGCGGGCTAACACCTGCAGCCGCCATCCTCTGTTAGCATTGCTCATGTGCGGGTCTCCCCACATCCCTGAGAGTCAGAATATACTTGTGCCATCTCTCTGGAAACGCGAATTTTCCTAAGTGTTTACCCTAAGGGCCTCCACGTAGTACCCCCAAAATAGCCCTGATTCGTCTGTCCCGCAGGCGTCCTAGCAGAGGGAGGAAGAGTGGGACACTGAGTCCCAGAAATCCTGTCCCTGCAGGCTAGAGTTCTCCCCAATCCTTGCCAGAGGTCTCGCTGCACCTGGGAAAGCAGTGCACACGTGCTGGTTACGTTAGGGGACTTGGAAGCAGGCTGTGTGCAAAGTGCTGGCCTGGCGGAGGGTGGACCAGAGGCTGGGCTCTGCTGGGCAGCTAAAGCCCATGGCCCCTGAGCCCTGCCTGTTAGCTGCAGGAGCAGAGGCCCTTCCTTCTGGGAAGCAAGCAGTTACCACCTCCAAAGCCATAACCATGGAGCTCACAGCACATTCAGCCTGTGTGGGGATTGCCGACTCGGCAGAGCTCCTGCTGCATGTGGGGATTGCACCATCCACGGGCAGAGCTCCTGCTGCAGCTAATTCCTCCATGATGGCAAATACAGCTCTGTTTCAGCCCCGCACATTGAAAACAGAGTGCCCACCCACCCTGACTAGACAACAGGGGGGCTGTGCTCAGGGACCTGAGGTTTCTGGATCGATGACAAAGCTTCAGTGACAGTTCCTATCTGTGGGTCTGAGCTGTTTCCTTCAGGGCGACAATCACCTGCACAGGGTCTGCATATAACCGTCATACCCCGACCAGAATTTCTTCATTGCCCGGCGACTCCAATATGACTTTTCTCCTCTCCCCCAGACAGATGCATCTATCCAACCACAGAATCATGATCTGGACTTAAGAGCAAACCTGGGCTCCAAGGACTGATCTCTGCTGCTCTCCATACCCTAGTTGCTGAGCCCCAATACTCGGGACTGTCCTGCGCTCCCCACTTCCCTTGTGCCCAGTAACATCTGTGACGTGTACACAACCAACGGCTATCACCAGTCCCCATGCTAATTCCCACATATGGCACAGCCCGGCCCCAAGCCCCAGTCTCGGGCCTGATTCCTGCATAGAGCCCAGATGAGGCTCCCGGCCACATGGCGCATCTCACATCCAGCCCCAGGGGGA